CCCCCCCCCCCCCCCCCCCCCTTTTCCTACATATCTACTTAAATTTGCTCCATAACTTCAACACAATTTACTTAATCAGTAAACGATGCAGGCAAATCAACATTCTTGTTTTGGTAGTTTCATTGGCGTCACATCAAAAAAGCAGAAATAATAACAAGAAAAAAAAAAGGGCAATCCGATAAAACTATAGACATACCAAATAGGGTTTTCCCTCAGGAGTGCGCCTAATAATAATTTCATCAAAAGGGATTTCCAACACTTGATGCACCAGCGCATACTGCAACAACCTGCTCACAAGAGCCCGCTTTTGATCTCCCAATTTCACAAACCTAATAAATTATCAATCAATCCAAAATCACAAAATACCCATTATCAAATTCTTTCAGAAACTTGTTAATCGATCCTTTGACTGACAATAATAAAGAAGCTTGTAACAGTAATACAAACAGGGAAAAAAAAAAGCAAGCAAAAAGTGACCTAGTGATTGAGGAATACTCATGGTTAGGAAGAAAGGACATTGCGAAAGAGAAGCAATGGGGAGATGGATTCCAGTTAGAAATATCAACTATCCACCTCTGAACACCCTTTTCCAGTTCCATTTCCCTGTAACATCAGAGAAGAAAAATATTCATTCGAGTTGGACTTGTTCAGTTGTTCTTGTTTTTGCCGACCGATGAACTTTCTAATTGATAACTCACTTGGCCACATCTCATCCACTCTAGATTTTACTTCAGCCAGTTCAATCTCGGAATTATAAATTTTGAATAGAACCTAATATTTGGGATAATTCTATAGCGGTTTGGTTTTGATGGATTTCAACTCCAACCCGAAATCAAACCTAAATTAGTTGGTTTGGGTTAATTTCAATTGACATCACTTTTAAACCAAAACCATTTGGTTTGGTTCAATTTGATTAGTGGATTTGAATTTTTAATCCAAATTGAATTTATTAAAAAAAATTGTTCGAATTTTGGGCCCCCATAAATTACAAGAACTAAAATAAAATCAAGCTAATGGAAACAAATCAACAAAAATTTAAGAATTTTGTTGTTTTTTTATGCATTATTTTAATTGATTGTTTTTCATTTTTATTCATCAACAAAATTTAATTTATTAGAATATAAAAATTAAGAGTTTTTATTTATTTTTACAAATGTTGGAAGATTTAATTGAAATATTCTCTAAATTTGTCGATATTTTATTAATTTACTAAAATTATAAAATATGTTATATAAATTGTAATAAGAATATTGGAGAGTGTGAACGTAAGTTTTTCAACATTTAGCTGGTGTAAATAGTTTTCTTGATAAAAAACAGTATAAAATATTTTCAAAGGAAAAGTCCATTATGTGATAGAACTTATTTGTAAATTGATAATTACAAAATTGACTCAAATAGAAGTCTATATCTTCAATAATGCAAGGGGATTAAATTTTATTTTCTTACCATTGATCTGACATGTGAAATATTAAAATTTGCGCAGTAACAAATCCAAAGGTGAAAAGCCTGATAGAAGCCATGCACAGAGCCATTTTAGCTCGAGCACCACCTTCTGATAGTGATAAAATCTCAGGTTGCAATGGTTTACGAGCCCGGCCGCAGAAATCTGAAGGTGGGAGTAATTAAGTGTGCAGACCACAGTGTTGTCTATTCTATCGTACCAAAACGTGCCACGCTACTGTTCTCAAAGAATATGTTTGTTATGCTTTCGTTTTCTTGATCCCACAAAAATCCAAGTTCTCTCACTCAACACACTAACAAGCAGAGATATAATGAATGGTATATCCAGTAGCATTCTGAACTAAGATAATTGATTAACAGTGTGTGGATCTGTATCATTATCTGCTATCTTATATACATTGAAAATCTTCTGCCTGGAGAAGTTACATTCATTTTGAACACGAGAACGATGTAGTACATCAGTTTCGAAGACTCACTTCAATACAGAAGTATAGAACATCCGTTAGCCAATCCAATTGACCATGACGAGGATCAGAACCCGAAGCTTCAAGCTCAATTTAAAGAAAGACTGCATCATACTTTAGAGTTCAAGAAATTAAAACAATTGAAGACACCAAAGGGTTAGTTCTTAGTTTCTGAGTTACTAAAACCATTATAAACTTCTAGCACGGGAAAGGTTCTGCTCAAACGCTTGAAGGAGTGTTGAGAAATAATATTTTTCTTGCACAGAGAATTTGCGAGCTCCATGGCCTCTACTTTCCATCCCGCAAAACCAATACCTTCGAGTAGTAGAACATATGAAGTTTCATTTGGCCGGCAGCCCCTTTTGACCATTTTTGCCAGCATTCCAATGCCGTCGTCAATTCTATGAGCTTTGCATAATCCCAGAAGCACAATGTTGTAAGTTACTACTGTAGGAAAAAAATCACTATTCTCCATGTCCCTTAACAATTCAATAGCCTCATCCACCATCCCATCTCTGCACAAACATGATATAAGTGAATTAAAAGTGATTTCATCAGGGTCAATCCTCATATCTATCATCTCTGAAACTAGTCCCAAGGCCCGAGTCCTATCCCCGTTGCCCCACAATGCACTTATCATTGTGTTATATGTACTTACATCCGGAGGGCACCCCATTTCAGAGAGTTTCTGAAAGACTTCCAAAGCCCCATCAGCTTTTCCATTCTTACATAACGCAGATAGGATGGTGTTGTAGTTTACTATATCTGGAAGACAACCACTGCTAATCATATAATCGAGTAAAGCAATTGCCAGATCTAATCTTCCCTCTTTGCATAATGCAGAAATCAACGGATCAAAAGTGTAAGTATCAGGAGAGAATCCCTCATCCATCATAATCTTCAACAGGTTAATTGCCTCATCTAATTGTCTATCTCGACATAAAGCACTCATCAGAATGCTGTAAGTAACCACATTATGCTTGCAATCTCTTGAAAACATTTCAGTCATCATCTTCTCCCCTTCATTCCAGTGTCCCCGATTTAGTAACGCCCTCAACAAAATATTGTACGATATCACGTCTGGCTTGCAACCTCTAGTCGGCAAGCTCCTTACAAACTCAAAGGCTTGATCCATCAACCCTTCTCTGCACATTCCCCTAATTATCGCGTTATAGGTATACATATCAGGCTGTAGCCCTCTAGACAACATTTCATCAAACAGCTTCATTGCTTCACCAATTCCGCCATCAAGAATTGTCGCCTCTATCAAAATCGTGTATGTAACCACAGTAGGCTGACAATTGTCTTCCAGTAAATGATCAAACATCTTCAATGCTAAACTAAGCTTCCTCCTATTGCAAAGACTTCCTATCATGATATTATAAGTAACCACATCTGGCGCAAATCCCCGTGCTCTCATGCTACTCAACACCTTATTTGCTGATTCAATTCGATTCACTTTACATAAACCACTGATTAAAGCATTATATGCATACACATCAGGTTCACCATACCGCTCAAGAATTTGCATGACCTTAACCGCTTTGTCCACACTTTTCGAACTAAAGAAACCTTTCATCAGCTTTGTACAAAGAATTACATCTGGTTTATAACGCATATTCACCATGCACTCAAGAAAATAAAGGGCTTCATCATAATTTCCTGCTTTGCTGGATCTATTAAGCAGTTTCAAAAAATGGGCTTTTTTAAAATCATAATAATCCTGCAAATGATTTGGCCTAGTTTCAGTTGAGACTTTCACCATTTGTGGGCTTCTGTACCTGTTCTCAATGGGATTATTATGGTGTCTGCATCTCACAACAGAGTTGTGGTGAGATTTTGTTCTGAATTTTCTTTGGGCACCAAATACAAGACATTGAGGAAAGAATTCAGAAGTAAAACTTGTAGTCATTGGTAAGCGATTCAATTAGTGCATATTTGGTTTGCAATAACAGACTCAACTGTATACCATAATACAATCTATTACGATTCAATCTTCTCCATCGAACATGTTAGTTCATGAGGAACATCATATGAAGTTGAATCTTAGAGATTAAAAGAAACGTACCTGTAGTTCTTGGATGATGGGGGAGGAAAATTGAATAACTTTTTTGAGTTGTTTTTCTCCCCCGCCATTACATTCAGATTTCGTTTGGATATGATGGTCAGATTTAAGAATTTTCTTTTCAGATAAGAGCCGCACAAAGCAACACATGGCAACTAATTCATTGAATAGGACCCGGGTCGGGCCAGTGCTTGTGGATCTTATTAATGAATATTAATTAGCCCAGTTTGGTATATATTAAAATCAGTTTTTTAGTGGATTTTGATAAAAAAAAATTATGAAATGAGTGGTTGAAAAATTGTGAACTCATGAAAGTTTGCGGTTAAAATTAATCAAACAGGGGCTTAGTAATTAAAATTAAGACCCTGCACATTATTGAGTGGTGAATGCATTTAAAATAGTGAGATGATGAAAAATATGTGGTTAAAAAATAAGGAAAAGTTTTGAATTTGTGTGTAATATTATTTTATTGAAAAATATATGGTTGAAAAATGAGTTTTGAAAAATGAATCTTTGTAAGAATGTGGATCAAACAGTGTGTAAATCTACCCTACTCCACATTTTCCATTTGCATATAGTATTGAAGATAATTCAATTTATACTAAATGGGGGTTATCGAAAATGGGTTACTCTCTCACATACGCACGGAGCATGCGTGAATAAAACTCTCAAATGTATGGTTCTCACACCCTATTGTGAGTGTAGATAAAAGATTATGTAAAAAAAAAAAGTGTACATGTAGCATAACCCTAATATTGAATATTATTACAAAAAATAATTTTAACTTCTTTTATTATTTAAAATATCGTCCAACCTTATCTTACTTCGTATGCCTTTTTGTCGATCTCTTCTTGCGTGAGTTCACGTTAATCTTGTAATGTGCAACATAAGTTCTTCGACCCACCCATCTTTTACTACGGGGGAATTAGCATCAAAGATCCCCCCGTAACCCACCTTTCACAACATAACAAGTTGATCTTTAAATTATTGTCACTCAAAGAATAATCGAATAAAATTTTAGAAAATTGATCATCACTCATAAAACAAAAAAAAGAAAAAAAAAAGTCATTCTTCAGAAAAGCCAATATAAAATAAGACCAAAAACATATTCAAGACAAATTAATCAGCAGAAGTAAAATGAGGAAATTTCTTATTTCATTCATTTACATAATCATGGATGTAGTGAAGCTAATTCACCAACAAATTTACATCACCAGAGCAGATAAGAACATCTGACATAACACTGTGTTACCATAAGACCATATTAAAACTCCCAAAATACAACCTGAACTGTTTTTCTAGCATTTTCAGACTGAAAACGCTATAAGGAAAATAGAAATTTAAATCAAGTATCAAAGTCGAGATAACTTATGTTCCTGATTCACCATTGCGCTTAGCTGCATCCGAGTTGCTCACTGTCATAAAAGATTCTCCGCAGCCACACTGCCCTTTAGAATTTGGGTTGATGAATATGAACTCAGATCTGCTCGGGGGGACATACAGATGTCAGATTCAATGAGCTTTGGTAATGAGAATGCCAGAAAATCAGCTTCAATTTTAGCAGTCTCGTATAATAATTCATTACCTAGCAAAATATAGAACTTGCAAAAACTGAGGATATGTTTGCTAGAATTTGCAAATGGGCAATACAAAATGAAGGAGATTTCACTTTTGAGAAAGGGAAATCTTAGTTTATGTCCGAGCATATACATCACAGCTTTTATTGGTTTTAACAGGAAGAGAAAGAAGAAAATAGAAGGTAGGAAAGAAAATCAAGAGAATTGAAGGAAGGAAGTTTAAAGGCGCCCTCTCCCTCATATGTGTACATGCACATATCTGAAGAGCATGGTTAATCAAATTCATCTGCAATGAGAATCAGAAAAGTAACAATACCTGAGTTTGTCGTCAACAAAATCCATCTTGGTACCTATGACATGCATGAGGGCCTTCGGATCAATCAATATCTTCACACCTTTGTCTTCAACCAACTCATCAAATTTGCTTTTCTCATCTGTCAATTGAAGAATTATGAAAACTGGAATTAGAACTCAGTACCACAGCCAAATTGAAAATATCAACTAGAAATTAACGATTGAGCGAAAATTTAAACATCAATAACCACAAGAACAACGATTAACCGTCACAGGCTTCCGTAATTAAGTCTGCAAATATACTTGTGTAAGAGTTAGTGTAACTCTGATATAAAATGAACTACAAGGGACTCAGAAAGAGTCACCTGTCTTACTAAAGTAATGACTAATACTAAACTTGAAGAGATATAATACGTTCAATCATTAATGTTTGGAGCTAGACAGAGAAGAGGTATTTCGCTCATGCCCAATCTTCTAGCGACTCCATTCTGTAAGAGTCAAAGTTTTTGTTCTATCATAGAGTCAAAATCACTTCCCGGCCAAGTCCCACTAAATGTGGCTGGGGCCTTTCCACGTGCAACCTAGGTCAAAGGCAAAGAAGGCATCTTTCACACACGCCAACCCCTTGGATGAGGGAGGGGTTCAAATCGCCAGTGAGATGCCACTTTAGGTACTTTAAAATTTGCAACAAGACTCTTTCTCCATCTTTCTCAGAGCTCTAACATAAAGCAACTCCATACCAGTATCCCGGTGGTGGAGAGGCAATGCAGGTGCAGAAACAAGAAAAAGAGATATGATGAAAGAGTAAAGTTATGGGTGCAAAAAGTATTGCTTTTGTTTCATGTATCATTGGGAGGATTGGATAACATTGGACAATATTAATGAAGAAAAGGAAACTAAAACCTTCATTTTTATAGTTTGTCCAGAATTGTATGCCAAACATGCACTTCAAGCTTTTTTACATCTTCATTTTCCTTTCCATATAATTTCCATGTCAGGTTTATGGTATAACTTCTATCTATCAATCAAAACTTTGCCAATGTATTTTCTCATGTCTAATTGTCTATTAGTAAAAGTTATTTTCCAATTTAAGAGTTACTTTAGGATATCAGATCATGAAGTGGTTTTCTCCATTGTATGGCATTATAACATCTTGACTTAATAGACTACTTCAAATAATAATTATTATTTTTTGATAACCGTGGATGTTCGGGCCAATTTGTGCGCACCTCGACTAATTCTACGGGGCCCTGAAGTTTACGGTTGGGTACTCACCTCAGTGGCCTTGAGGGGATTCGAACTGGTGACCATTGGAGAACAAACTCAAGGCCTGACCAATTGATCAACCCCTCAGGTTACTTCAAATAATTATTTTCAAGTTATAAATAGAAAAAAATGAAAAACAATAAAATCAGACTTCATCATCACCAAATTATGGGAGTGAGTCAAAAGACTGATCATGATCATGATCATGTAAACATCGTCTAACGATCAAGGCTAAACCATGACCTAAGCACACACACAACCAACATGCTTCTGCATTGTATAACTCAGTAATTGAAAGCAATACTGTCCAAAAATGAAAAGAATGATAGACCTTATCTTTACCTGGTCATTTCCAATTCAAATTTAATTTTACCTAAAAATACTTCTCAATCATCAATGGGGGATGTGAATCATTTAGATTGATGTATCATCAGCACCAGGTAACCTCACTTTGAAACAGGTCATCTTATTCATATAGTTACCTCATTATCATAACAATGAATGGCGATCATATTCATATTTATGCCTATTGTTCCACGGTCCTCAGTTTTTTACCGTTCAGAAGGAAAGTTTTGGACAAAATGTCAACATCTCTACAAGTACCATAATTCTTTATATTACTTCTATCAGTGTCTTAATCCTGAATACTTGTCGCAACAGAACTTTAAAAAACGGTGCATCTTTCAAGAAATAAACGCAGCATTCAAATAAGACCGGCTAAGTTATGTGGCTTGTTATTGTAAGGGAATCCCTATACTGAGACCAATAATCACGAACATGCACACAGAATTACTATTACTGAATAATTGCTACAAACATATCTTCAATCCCATAATAATAGTCATCAGACCAACATGGATCACCTTATCATTTAGTCATCACTTCACTATTGAAGTATCGAACTGGAATAATCATTAAATCAACGTTTTCATAAAGATAAGAAAAACCCTACAATGTTTCACAAAGCAGAGTATACTTCACTTTCAATAACTAAAAGATGGATCTTGTTGTAAAAGCAAGCAGAAAGTGATAAACTGAAGGAAGGTGAGATGCCGTCAAAGCATCGTGCCCTTGTGCCCTGGGCAATACATGTACAACAATGGAGGGGACAGAGGGTTGCAGAAAGTGATAAGCTGGAGGAAGGTGAGATGATGTCAAAGCAACATGCCCTTATGCCCTGGGCAATACACGTACAACAATGGAGGGGACAGAGGGTTGCAATCAGCTAACCCCAAAATCCTGTCCTCAATAATGACTTGGCGATTGTAGAGTTATGACAAACCCACTATAATCTTTGCAAATAGTTCTCTGGTTTGCCCTCTTTATTTATAATGGTTGGAGGAAACATTTCATCCAACAAGAGATTTGATGACGACTAATTGTACCCAAAAAAAAATGTCACAAAAACTTTTCATCTCCTTCGTAAGAATGGAGATTTCGAATTGAGATCAGTATGGAAATGCTCTCTAGCTAGCCTCCTCGGAAGAAACTAGATGGAAAAAAGATCAGGTTAAGAAAATTAATATTGTTTATGCGTATCAACGAACTTTTTCCCTAAGTGAATTGAAAAATGCAATTGAGACAATTAATTGCATCTTCATATTTCACGCCATCATTGGTGTCATAGCATTCTTTTCAATTCACAAAATTAGATAGAAATCCCCAATTCCGCTCAGACAAAGGCAATCCATATTTCACCCACAAATCAATTCGAAAAGCTCAAAAGGCTTCTCAACATATATACACCATTAAAAGGTAAAATATTCAACCTTAAAAGAAAAAAAAATAGATAAAACAGAAGATGGCGGCTGAAAAACTTACCGGCGTAATTGAGAGTGTAGGATAAGCCGTTGCAGCCACGAGCCTTGACACCAAGCTTGAGGAAATCGCGTTGGCGCTGCTCTAAGAGGTGGCGAATTCTAGCCGCCGCGATTTCTGTTAGAGATAGCACTTGCTTTCTCATGGCTTGATCTTCCTTCACGAGTTCACGGAATCCTGCGAATTGCTAAAGCCAGACAGTTCTTTATTTTCGTCCCTGAAATAATGAAAAGTCGCCTGATTACCGCTCCAATAAAAATCCTCATCTGTCGTGCTGTTTTAAGTATTTATTACTTTTTTAATATTATTTTTTAATATTTTAAAACATAAAAATAAAATAAAATATAAAGATTTTGGGGTGGAAATAATGTTTAGTTTTGCTACACTTACCTTCTGATTTACATTTCATCGACACACAATTCTACAATTTATTTTTCCAACACCTAAAACGATCAACGATGTCAATTTTGGCACCTATTGAAATGTTATCAAAGATGTATACAAAGAATGTGCGTGTAGATTAATTCAATAACGCTTCCGTCCCTACGAGTTGACTACCCAATTTCGTTAGAGGCATGATGGGGCTAATTCTTCCATCCCTTGACGATGGTGAAGAAATTATTTGCAACGGTTTAAATAAGTTTTTTATTTTACTTTTAACCGAAAAATAATTAATCAAATACACTGCAGTTAGATTGAGGCAGATAAATAAATAAATAAGTAAATTGACTAGTGTGATTTTGTCCGAGCGATGTCCAACAAAATCATAAAAGAAAAGAAGATATGATCTTGGAGTGAGACTAACAAAATTGGTGCAGAAATTTAAAAATATGTTGATTGTCCCATTATTTCCCTTTTATCTCATGTTATACAATGGTAGGCTTGTGTTTTTTATCTAGAAGAACGTTATTTGTACTAAACAATTATATAATAGTTTATGTATAGATGTGGTGTCAAAAAGAGAGTGAAGAATTTTTTTTTTTTATTTGGTTGAATAAATTCGGACCAAATCATATTTCACCACATCATGTACATGTAGCACAATTTATTTAATTCAATATGAAAGGCCCAATGAATTGAGATTTCCTTATTGGTCCAGGTCATTTCGGGGCAAGCAAAATAAATAAATAAAAATCGAAGGGAAAAAAAAAAAAACTACTTAAAAAGCTGAAAATAGTACATTACTTGTTAAATTTAAGACAATATACTCTTTTTTGAAAGCTCAATTTTAGTGGGCAAACCCAAAAATAATTAAAAGTTTATTCTTCAAACTTTTGCTTTCATACTAAAACAAAAAGTAGAATCTAATGCTACCAAAAATCATCCTTGGATATGGTAAAACTTGAGATCCATACTTGAGATGAACACGATCGTGCTCCTTAACACTTGAAACCTTGTATCATAGAGATGCTGGTTAAACATATTAGTGTTCTGATGGAGACAAAACCTTTTATTTTATTGTTTTAATTCAAATCACCATTTCTTTAGTTGATTTGTATTGTATGCTTATTAATTATTTGAAAGCTTGATCACCATTAAAATAAAATATTGCTCATTTTGTTCTTGAGAGGTTCGAAATAAGTCGTGAACATTGTAGTCATCAACATAAGGCTCGAAAAACATTAGAAATAATAGCTTATGGCTTATGCAATTCGTGAGTTTAATTTTTTTTTTTTTTGATAATTTGATGGATTCCAAAATTCGTGTCCTTAAGGTTTTCGCTTGAATTCTTTGTTTCGCGCTTCGTCAAGTTGATTAAAGAGACTTGCCAATTTCACACCTTTTGACCAGATAATTGGCCTTACAAATTCATGCCTCAAATGATAAGACCAATGAAATGTAGAGTAATACTATTCATCCTCATGTGATGCAGCATTAAATGAGAATGCCGTTACAAAAGAATTTATATCAATTGCTGCCTCAAATAATAAGGCCAAGTAAATGTAAAGTAATGCTATTTATTCACATTGAGATTACAATCACGCTATGAGTACATTATTGTTCACATTCTTCTACATGGGCACCATCAAATCCTTCCCATTTTTGTGTCAAGTTCAAAAATCAATAAAGTGATTTTGAAATAACTATTTTGAAAGTAATACTTACTTTATACACATAAATTACACTAGACAACATAGGTCGTGAATTTGAATGGGAGAATAATAGGTGAAATCAAAATCTCAACACGTTTCTTATACATAGTTTTCACGTGCAATTAGATAATCAATAGAAAATATCAGTAGTTAACACAAATAAACATCAAAGAACTCTTCTATTTTGGATACATTCGAATTAGTCATCGAATTAATTGGATTCAACCTAAAATCTATTACTAGTGAGACGACAATCTTACTCCTAAACTATTACTTATCAACCATTTCGTACACTTGCGTAATTTCATTAAACAATATTATATGATAGAATAATGTCATTTAGCAACAGTGATATTAGAACACTAGTTTATATGGCCGCAATTGATAGATTCAATTAAATAAATTATTTGACATTGTATTTAAATGAATCTATCATTTATTGTCACCTAAACTGGCGCTGACACCAATGGTATTAAATAGCATTATTCTAAGAGCATCTACAAGAGATTCTTGAAACATAAGATGCTCTCTATTATAAATAGTTAACATTTAAAATTGTACTACAAGAGACTCATTAAATTTGAAGAACCAAATTCACACTCTATAATTAAATGTATTCAAAATATCTCAATTTTCATTGAAGAAAAATAACATAATAATTTAGAAGGAAGCCAGTGAAAATTGAAAAAAAATTAATATTTTTGGATAGTTAAGAAAATTAAATGTTAAGTATAAAGAGTCAGTCAGAGTACTTAAATTACTTTCTAAATTTGTAAGTACTATTTAAATTGTAGAATATGCTCTTTAAAAATAAATAGTCTTTTGAAGATGTCAACAAAATAATTCTCAAACTCATGCATTTAATTACTTTATGATTCTATGCATTAATTGATAAGGCTAATTAAATGTTGGGGAAAATAGCATTAATGTCATTTTCCATATCATCACCCATCATCTTCTATAAAATCGGTCAACTTGGAGTGTCATTTAATCACCGGAGTTGACAATGGAGAGAGAGTTCTTCAGAACCATCATGTTGATCTTTCTTCTCTTCATTTCCCGTAAGCTTTCTCTCTTCGTATCACGATCCCAATTTCAATTTCAATTTTTTATTTTTTTATTTTATCTTGAATAAAAAATTCTGCATAATTAAGAAAAAGCGACACATGACAAAACTCACAAGTAATTATGTGCACTCGAATCCAATCAAATGCACGAAGCATATATCAATATCTTGTTCGTAATTCTATCCAATACGAAAAAGTTGCTTTTTCTATGGTCTGGATTACTAATTTTTTAAATTCTTTCCACTGGTGGAATGATTGGTGAATCCCCGTAGATATGATCGTGTGCAATGAAGCAAGGCTTTGTTCTTCACCAAGTGGGAGATTTAAAGGACTATGCTTTCTCGAGAGCTCATGTATTAAAACCTGCTGGAGTGAAGGTTACGATGAAGGTAGATGCATTGGGTTCCGCTTTAAATGCATATGCTATAAGTGTTGTTAAACCAATCAGCCTCTCCCCAGCAATGACAGTCCAAATGCCATGTGACAAAATTATGAGATGATATAGAAATAAAAAAATAAATATTGATTGTGGTCTATCCTTCATTATTCATCCTTAAAATTTACGATTATGAGTTACTCGTATTTGATCATTCTAATTTGAAAATTATGAATATACTTGCTTGTGTTGTTTTGATAAGTTTACTCAAGATTTTGCTCTTATGTTCAAGGATAAGACCTTGAAGCCATGGTCCTTGACACCCACTTGAAGAAATGCATTAAAAGTGAAGAATGAGAAACGAAAAGAGGTTTCTAGGAATAAATAACTGATCTAAACACGTTTAAAACTAAAATCTAATTAATAGTAAATTGTTGTGTTGTAGTTTGATACAAATTCTAGTGGGTATTGGAGTTTTGGTTGAAGTGGTATTGAAGAGATAAAATTATACACCGGGAAGAAAACTAGTCACAATTTCTCCTGCTCGGAACCTGTCGGCACTCGAGTAGCATCGTCAAATTTTCACCCGAGACTTGGCGCCGCCTGATGCTCGAGCAGCTAGGCTGTTGCGAGCTTTAAATCTTAATTGAAAGTTTTGAGATGTTGTAAATACATTCATTATTGATTATATTGAAATTCTCCTCTTTTGCTCGTGGTTTTTTTTTTCTATCTTAGGTTTCCATATAAATTTTGGCATTTTTGTTTTTGTTTTATTTATTTCATTATTGTCATTATGTTAGGATCAATTCATAACAAACTATTATCAGAGTAAGGTTGATTAATTTTTATTTTATGTTTCTCTTATGGTCTTGTTATTTTTATGTTCAAACAATTTATCTCTATTAATATTTACTTGTTAAAAAATGATATGATATGGCATGAAGTATAGGTCATGTTGGACTCTGTAATAGACCATTTAAATTTATTTCTCATTTAGTAATGTCCGTTATTATCTAATATTACATCGCTAAACATGATATAAATGTACATATGTTTGATATCATGGACTAAAATGACTCTCCACAATTTACTACTATCATCTCCAATGCACCCCTACTACTATTTTCAACTCAAATTCACGACCATAAATACTACATTCACGGACCTGTGTTATCTGCGACTAAATTTTTATTCAATGTGAATGTATTTATAGTTAGGAATGAAGTTAGTTGGGCTAAAATTAATTTTCAGGTTAGGCTAAATTTTTATTGCTTTTGATTTCACCATGACTTTGGGCTAAATTTTTCATTTTTTACAAGCCAATTTGCTTCTCAAGCGGGACGGGGCAGGGCTATGCCCCCGCACAAATGCTATGTGACAATATTATTAGATGATATAGAAATAAATAAATAATGATTGTGGTCTATCCTTTATTATCGATCATCCTTACAAATTACGTTTATGAGTTATTGGTGTTTGATCATTCTAATTTCAAAATTATGAATATACTTGCTCAGGTTATTTTGATAAGTTCACACAAAATTTTGTGCTCATGTTCAAGGATAAGACCTTGAAGCCATGGACCTTGACACTGAGGTTGAAGAAATGC